TACACAATTTTATTAATTTATTTCTTATATTTTCTTCAGATGCTCCTTCACGTCGTAATTTTATAAATGACTTTACAGTTCCCTGACATATTTGACATATTGCAATATTTGTTTCTGCTGCAAAAGATCTCCAGTCTAAATTCTGAAGTTCTGTAGGAATTTGCAAGGTTTTGATCATGTCCTTAAATAATTCTGTTTCATGGTCGAATTTTGCCCATAATTCAATCTCATTTGCAAAAGACACATTTATATCTGTTAATGAATCAATTTATTATTTTTAATTCTATTGCTTGAAAAAGAGTTGTAATAGATAGAAAATACTGTTCTTACTAAAAAATTGGTAAATGTAGTTTATTTTTATCAAGAAATTAAGTAACGAAATACAATTCCTTAAATATTATTTAATTAATTTTTTTGAAATGATGCATTTAGTTAATAAACATTATTATTTTCATTATCATTTATGAATTATATACAAGATGCTGAAGAGAATGCTTTGATTATTTACAATTTACCTTTATATTTTCAATAAATTATTTCAATGTACCTTTTATGTGTGGAACAAAACCACTGACAGTTAAAAATAGTACACCAAAATTTAATATTTTAAACCACATTTTCGTTATTCTCCGCTGGTACTCTTCTTAAGACTGCAGTTCAATTTAATTCTTCTAATCGTTTTCATTTTGTTTTATCTTATCTTAGTTTTTATATGCATCGATAAATTTCATAATTGATATCTTCTTGAAAAGATTAATTTTCACAGACTAGTGTGATTCACTTGAGAGTTATCATATACTTTTGAAATACATTGAACGTATTGCATTCTATTCTATTTTGCGAAAGGCATACCAGGTACATTCGTCCCTCAATTTACGAGGCACTTTTCTTACGCGAGTCTCTTTTTTGCGCGTAAATTATAACACAATTTACGCGTTAGTTTTTATGCGCGATCTTAATTTACACGCCCAGAAAATATATTTTCATAGAAGTTTTAAAAGTAATAAGTGTGTACAGTGCCATTATATACAATGATCCAAACATTCAACGAGTCTTCAAATTTCGACAAGATTTAATGAAATTTAGCGAATATCAGCAAATTTATGAAAACTTAGTAAAAGAAAAGATTGAGAATAAATCATCCGAAAAAATTAACATTAACAATGAAAATGATGAACATCCAAAAAATTCAAGCGATGAAGATGATACGTTTGTGCCAATTAAAAAGAAAAAGTTGATTGTTTTGAATTACAGTAGCGATAGTGACATCGAATAAAATTTACTTTTGTTTTCTGAAACGTCATTATTTTTTTTGTTAAGCTATTTGAAATAAATATGTATTTCTAAAAATTATATGTACTAGCTTTTATTTCCAATATTTTTTCTTTTGTACTGACAGACAAAATGTCGATTTTATTTATGCGATTTTCATTCGCGTAAAACGAATCCACGTGGAACGGATATTCCGCGTAAATTGAGGGACAGGTGTACTCACAATCAGTTCTAGAGGACTATTGTGCCCTGGTCCCGAGGGTGTTCCGTTACATGGGGTATCTTGGTATTGAGATTTCTTGTGAAAATCGTAACAACAGTCTTGCAATTCATTTGATGCATACGGATCTTCGATAAGAATATCTTTTCTCATGTTTCTCG